GGACGCGCGGGCGCCAGGCCGCCGGGGGCGGTTGGCAAGGAGGAGGCCGAGGAGCCGGGGCGGAGAGCCGGGCGCCCGGCATCTTCGGCGGGGAGGTCGTGGGCCACTGGCCAGTGCCTTTTAGGAGCCCTAAGCCCTCCTGGGAGCTCGGGGAGCGTGATGGGAACCCTCCTCCCTAGCCCCTTCCTGGGACAGGATGAGCGGGGAGCGTCGGCTGGGGGAGGGGGGAATCCTTAGCTTAGAAGAGTAAAAACGGTTTCAGACTTTAGATCGAGATGGCATTTCTTGCTGTCTCAGAACAGCTGAGGACATCTGGAACTCGTCCAAGAAAACCCGCGCACAGGATGGAGACCCCCTTGTGAATTGCTAAGGGGGAGCCACACTCCTGGGGAGCGCACGCGGCCCTTTTGCCCACCGACAGGAGTCTAACCCACCCTTTTCCCCGACAACCTTCTCTGTCGCCCGCCCCACCCGGCCCCCAATTCCCCTGTTACATATTCTGGGATGACTCTAGCCGTGTCGCTTCAGCCTGCATATACCGCGGATCTATCTCTCTGCTTCGGAGAAGCGAAGGGAAAGCAGGGGTTCTTCCCAAACTGTTGGGCGGGGAAGAAAGGCTGCTCCGAATTACTGGGCAGTGTCGTCTAGGGAGGGCTTGCAGCGGATGTGAACGCCCGCCCAGCGGGCTCCTTTATCTTTCTGAAATGAACGCGGGTGGTTGGGAAGCATTCAAGCGATGTTTGTCTTCTAGACAGACAATCCGCCTGCAAGGTTTCAATACTCTGTAGAAGGCTAGTGTGATTAAGAGATGTGAGATGATTAAGGGAGCCTGACCTTTATCAAGCCTGGCTTTCTGGCTGATGTTCCGCAGATTTCATACCAAGGTTGGGTGAAACAGCGCCCTCTCACCGACCCTCGCTCATCTCGACTCCCTTTTCCCGTCGTTAACTGTTAGCTAACTAGCTTCAACTAACGTTTCGCTGCTTAGTCTGGAAGGGTGTCAGCCCTTCTCAGAAACTCCTATCTTCCCCATTTGATTACTTTAAACTTCACACTTATTTAAAAAAAAACTTGGCTTCCTCCTACTTAAAAAAAATCTGGGAATTTCCACAACTTCCCTTGAAAGTTTAAGGATTTCTAAATGTTAGACCTGTTTGCATGGCATGAAAAGACAAAGTATCAGCACTCAGAAATGTTAATCTTTGAACCGCTAACACTTTCTGGTTTATAATAAATTCTTTCCAAAAAGACGCAGAAGCCTTAATGCAATCGTTAGATCTGCAGGGGAAATCTGTAAAAAAGTAAATCACAAACGGGCCATTTAATACTTGCAAGTTGTTTAACATTAAAATGATAATATTTGTTTCCACAATAAAAAACCCGAAGGTACTTAGCCAAGTTTCAAGCTACCCAGGCTTTAAAAAGTCAACCCTCCCCCAATAAAAGGTTGAAACAAAAATCAGATTGAAAATATTAAATCACTTACACTGTAAAGAAATTCATTATACTCTCAGAACAAATTAAAGACTGGCCTCAATAGACTGCTTTGATTTATGTTGCTTTTTCTACTAATTAAACAAAATCAACCCCTTTCTATACCCCCCCCACCCGTTCTTTTTCCCCCACACACTTTTCTGGTGTTAATGGCAAAACATCTATCAGATATTTTTAGAATTTCCTCTCCTCCACAAAAAGAGAAAATATAGACACAGGAAAAATAAATAGTCTTTATATACTTGGAATACCTAAGCTTTCCTCCTAATTTATTACTTCACCTTTTCCTTGATTTATAGTCTTCTCTGCTCTTCTGGCCAAAGGAGGGAGATCTTCTCAGCAGCCTCTTCCAGAAATAATTTTTTTGGTTGTTGCTTTTCAAAAAAAAAAGTAAAATTAAGTCTTAAATGAATTAAAAATTTCCTGTAAGGAGCCTTTCTGTTTCCACCCAAGGCAATTATTAGAAAGCAGGTACCTCTTTTAAGCTGCCCTGCTTGTTACTTTCAGTAGAAATTCTCCTCAAATATACCCTCAATATATACCTTTCTGAAAAGGCTGTTTTCTGACATCATATGTTAGCTCCCAATTAACTGAGCAACCTCCGTGATGATGCTGAGAACACATGACTACAAATGAGATGACTCCACACTAGGAGAGTTTTTTTTTTTTTTAAAGCTTAGGAATAGAAAAAGTGCCAACAGAGCCTGAATGTTTGCTTAGGCCTTGCTATCACATAAAGGCACCTTAGCAAATAGGAAGACAGAACGCCTGCCTTTAATCTGAAGTCTTTCCATGTGATGACAGTTTAGCATTGTGAGGTCCACACCTACATGGATGCCTAGCCCATGAGCAAGCCCCGCATTTCCATCTTCCCAACCCCAATGGCAGCATTTTTTCCCAGTTTTAGTAAGAGATGTTCTAAATTTTTAAGTATACTTTTACTCTTAAATTCCTGTTTGCATAACCAGCTGATACCTATCTCCAGGGATATCTCCTTTTGCCATTTAAGAAAAGGAAAAAGAAAAAGAAAAAGAAAACCCCCTAGCATTTATGTTTAACTTCCTCATCGTTCTCTCTTTTCCCCTCCTCAACTCAAACAACCAGCCAACAAATAAACATACAAATGAAGAAAAGTACCTATAGCTCTTTGAACAGTGCACCTGGGCCCAGAAATTCCCTTATCTTATTACCAACAAGCATCCAGATTTAACATTTGCCAATCTGTGGCTCCAAGCTATAGCTCTAAAATCCCAAGAAACCAAACAACAAACTTCATTCCTTCTCTTCTCCAAAACTTTTGTTTATGTAAAGAAGTTTGCATAATTAGTTCAAGTAAAGTTATCATTTGATTACATGAGAACATGGTTCAAGTCACGTGGAACCATTGCCTGGACTGGGACTTGAGAGCTGAACTTGAGGTAGCAAAAAAGGGGACGTAATGCCTTTAAATCCCAAATAGGGGCAGGAAAAGGTGTTGTTGTTGTTGTTGTTATTATTATTATTATTATTATTATTATTATTATTATTATTATTATCTCTCTTTATACTTAGATGAAACCAGGACTCAAACTGGGGCTGTCCAGGAACTGGGCTGGCTGCTGGAGGAGCTGCCTCAGGGAGCAGTGCCCAGACACACATCAAGCTGATGGGATTCTTTTACTAGAAAAATGGGTCTCACACCCTCCCCGCCCCTCCCTACTTTCTAGGCAATGTTCAGCCTTCCACAATCAGGACCAGAGAGCCCGGCAGTGGGGCAGTTTCCCTGGAGGTCCCAAGCCAATGTGAGTTGAGAAGGTCTTTAGGAAACTGGGTTCTCTGGGACAAATTCTCCAAGGTCAAGTACTTGTGCACCTCCCAAACCCATGACTGTCAAAACATGTTTGAGGAGGAGTCTTCTGGCCAGGGACAGTGCCTTCTGTGTGTGTGTGTGTGTGTGTGTGTGTGAGAGAGAGAGAGAGAGAGAGAGAAAGAGAAGGAGAGAGAGAGAGGCAGAGAATGGTCCTGTGGTGCAGAGTCCTGATCTCCTGGACTGATGCCTACCTGATGCCCTTGGCTGGGCTGAGTTCTTGGCTCCCTGAAGCAGGCAGCTCTGGACTTGTGTGAGACCACAGGGAGAGTTCCAAGTCCCACCTGGCTCAGATGACAACCTTTCCACCTGAAACTGATCTCAGGAGTGCCACACAGCCTTCCTGGCCAGGATCCAGCTCCCCTGTGAGCAGAGTCGTCCTTTCTTAAAAACTGAGCCCTGTCGTCTGGAAGGTGCTGTCCCCGGGAGTCGCTGGGACCTCGGAAGCAGTTTACATCCCTCACACCATCCCCCACTTCTGCAATAGGGACCAGCTCTCAGTATCTCCTCAAAGCAGCACCGGGCTAGGATGCACACCCTCTCAGGCTGAAAGGCCTCTGGACCACCCACACTTAGGCGGTGCCTTGTGCGTATTTTGCTTGGGCTTGTGTCTTCGGGCCCTGCTGGCCCTTACTGGGATTCTTGTCAGAACTAAGGCCGCAGGAAAGCCAACGTAAAGGCCATGTCCTCCCTCTCTGGGGTCTCCCTGCCCGGTAGTCGCACGCTGGGCGCAGGAAGTGGGGGCATGTGTCTCCTTAAGGCAGGAGTCACGGTCTTGGAAGAGGCGTGAGGACGACAGGACGATCTTTATCAGCCTCACCACCGTCCCCTACCCCCACCTCCACCTCCCACTGCAGACTTAGGATGCCTTTGCGGATATGATACCCGTGGAAGACGCGGGCTTGGCTCCCGGGACCTTAGACTTAATGGAAAGTTCTGAGGCCTGGGAGCCCCCGGGGCGGGTCTAGCTACGTCCCCCGGGTTCTCGGGCGTCTCTCCCTGAGCATCTGGACTCCGGTTTCGGCACAGAATCCTGTCCACAGCGGTAGAATTGAGGCCTTCGCGCTCCGCCCCATCCCGCTGGGTTTGCTGCGTGGCTTCGCACCCGGTACAGAGAAGCCGGCCCAGCCCGCTCCCTCCTCCCAGGAGGGCCCTGCTTCTGGCTGCAGGGGAAAGGAAGCTTCGGGAACAACGTGACCCTAGGACAGGGTCCGAGGGCCCTAGCAAATTTCCTCCGAGAGGGGTTCTCCCCTCCCTTCTCCCTCCTGGGCAATCTATGACTCAAACTTGACATCAGCCCCTGGCAGACAGTGACGATAATTTCCCAGTGAGGGTGGGGAGAAGAGGGTGAGGCGGCTGTACCCCACCCCCGGCCCTGTCCGGGTCCAGGTCCGGTCCCCAGGCGCGTGTGCAGGCTCGACCCCTCCTTCCGGAGCCCTGGGACTCGCTGTCTCTGGGCTGCCTCCCGCGCACCCGTCGGGTTCGGCAAGGCCAGAATCCGGGAGCCCGTCTGTTTTATTTCATTTAACACGATCGGGAAAGCCAAGGCGGGGTGAGAGGCGGCGCGGGCCCCGGGGAGGAAATGAAGGGACGTGGAGCGAAGTTCTCTCTGCCAAGTCTCTCGGGCGGATTCTTAGAATCCAGTGGCACCTTGAAGCCCTGATGTGAGGGCAAGGAGACGGTTATTAATTCTTGAAGCCCGCTCTCTCTATATATAGCTGCTCAGTAGTTGCAGTTGGCGGTCGCGGGGGGTGTAGACCGTGGAACACATGGCATCGCTCCAGCGCGTAAAAATCAACCTAGCCGGTGGCTCC